GTGACAGAAAAGGAAAAAGGAAAAATGTCATGTTGTTAGCACAAGGCAGGCAAAGCACAGCTTGGACCTGTCTGAGGTAGTGAGCAGATGTGTCCTCCCAGGAGAGGGCTCTCAGTCAACATCCACAAAACTGTACCTATAAAGGAATCTTCCAGACAGTACTACGAAAGTGCCATAGGATGTCCATGAGGCATCTGGGCATCTGGGATATCCCAGGAACCCATGTACTCAAGGCAGACAGGTACGATAGCCAAGGCTCCTCAAGAACCCCACCACCCTTCTCCGAACAGACATATGGTTGTCTATGTCAAAATGGAAGAAGGGCTTGTGACAATAAAAGGTAATGCAGCCAGCCTAAGATAAAGCCTGTGTGTCGGGAACTATGAGAAAAACCTGGCTGGAACTACTTGGTAAACTGGTCCATAGCTTTAAGAAATGTTAAGGTTAAATGGTTGGGTGTAGACACATACACAAACACCATTATTCCTAATCACTTAGGAGAAGCAGTCATTTCTTCCAGTTATAAATCTTCAACTCCTACCCCTCTAGATAGAATAAATATAACCCTCTGGCTTTGAATTAACACAACTTATATTCAACATCCCTTCCCTGCCTTTATACTTCTAATTCCAGAGCCACAGAACAGGCTGACCTGCTAAAATGTATTTTTTCAGGAAAGAAAGCTGTGACAAGAGAACATTTCTGATACCAACAACAGATGCTCTGTGAACTACTCAGGCAGGAGTGTACACAGATACAGCAACTAAATTGCCTGTTAAACATACTGTGAGAAATAACGTTTATCTCTCTCCCAAGCTGAGCTTTAGGGAAATAGAGCCTTCAAAACAAGGTATCTTTATTTCAGCTTTTAATATGTTTGTAATTGTTGAATGAGGTCCAAAGGTTGTAAAGAAATAAAATCTGAACCCTTTATCAAATCTGAGCACGCCCACTTCCATTTCTCAATTTCCCCATTTTCCACTTTTAATGAAATTCCAGATTAAAACCGAGTTCAATAAAGGCTACTCATCATCACAGCTAATTCTGATGAAGTTCATGAAGGGTTGAAACAACTATGGAGATTGAAAGGGTAGAATTCTGGAAATTCAGTAAGAAAAATGAGTAAATTCTGTAAGGATCCATCTTTGGAAAATCACTATTCATTGTTAGCCAGAAATCCTGTTGAGCCAAATGTCAAAATACTATTTTTAAATCTAGGTAAATGTTAGTATTCATTAGCAGTAAATCATTACCAATCTCTCTAGTAGCCAAATAAATCAATAAAACTGGACTTTTGACCTTAAGAGTATTGCCACCAAATTTAGTTAAATTCTCCAAATACTATCTAACAACAAATACCAAAAGATCTCTGCTGTTTTGGGGTGAGAATACAGTGAAACTGGCCATGATGATATTTACCTGCCCCAGGCACTCCACATACTATACTCCTCTCACAAATGTGGGAGGAGAGGGCCTCCCAAATCTTTCCCTCCCCAGCTGACTGAGCTCTCACGACTGTGTACCTCTAAACACATCCATCACACTATTGTCTATTTACTTCAATATTGACACAAGACAGAAAGCTCAGCTTTACTGAAAGTGAGGGACCCATGAACTTCCATCAGTTTATTTAAAAACTCCTAGCATAGTACAGAATTGACACTCAAATATTTATTAAATTGTGTCTAATATCTGCTTTTATGTATTAACTCAAACTTAGTTTTTTCACGAAAACATTTTCCAATAACCTGCACCTTCCTCAACTACTTGACTAAGCACTAAATGTTTCTGCTCTGCTTTAAATAAGCGCATGTTTACAATACTTAGTTATTAGGTTGTTAGTATTCACTAGATCACTTCTCTCCATATTTTAAGATTCTCAAGAGGAGAGATGAGATCCCCATAAAAAAGGACAGAACATTTCACACAATGAGGATTTAATGATTATGAAAAAGTACAAGTCTGTTTAATATTAAACAGCAGTATTCCTTCCTTAAAATTACAGATAAGGTCAGAGTAAGAACAGAAAAAGGAACAAAATAGATCACTTATTGTGAACAATTAGCTACTTTTCTATATTTTTAAAGCAAAGAGAGTTGAGATCAGATTACCTAAGGCGGATAATCTTAAATAACATTGCATTTTAATAATGTCATAGATTCAGAGACTGCATTTTTTCTTTTAATATTCACTGATAATGAGGCAATAAGTATACTGCATTTATATTGTGTTTATCTCAGGTTGATAACATGGCATGATGGTTCATGGAGTTCTGTACATGTGATTATAAATAAACACAAAGAACAAAAGAGCTCAGATGCTTCTCTCATTTTATCTTTCTCAGTCACTGTTCTTAGTTATTATTTATCTAAAATCTCTTAAGGAGCATTTAAATTCAGACTTCAGAAGCTGAACTCTAAGACTTTCCCAAAGTTATTTATTAAATTTATTGTTAGCAAATCACTTTGATGAACTGTTCTAGGGCATTAATGCAATCACTAAAGCACTATCTTTTCTTTTTTTTTTTTTAAAATGTATGTTCTGAAATATTTATTTCAGCATTTTTTTAAAAAGATTTATTTATTTTATTTATACAAGCACTGGGTACAGTCAGAAGCGCGGGAGAGAATTCACCAGAACCGGAGCAGGGAGCAGAACAGGCAGAAGGACCGAAGTACACTGCTGAGGGGAGCAGAGGGCGGCAGGAGAGGTCTGTGCGCCATGTGGGACCCTCGCCAGTGGCCGGGGATCGAACTGGAGCTGCAGAGGCTGCAGAGGCTGCGGGCAGCTTGGCAGCCCAGCGCTCAACTGCTGCGCCACCAGGGGAGGCCCAGCACTTATCTTTTCAAAATAAAATTCAAGTATAGGCAAAATCAGCAGTGATGCAGTGATGATAGGTCATTAGCATCTGCTGTAGTCTACATATAGCTGTTCATTTCTTTAAGGGAAAACAGAGAAGACCTGATGTGGTACTAGAAAATAGTACAAGTGGTAGTGAAGTAAAACTCAATTTCCTGGAAAAAGTTCCAAAAAAAGCTGGACCTGAATATTCAGTCTCACACATATGCCTTCCAGAAAGCTTCTCTACAAGCTGGGCTGTCTGAGCACTGAGAGAAATGTCAACAATGGCATTGCCTCAGGAGTTTATCCTGGGCACAGAGCCATTTAATATTCCTATTAATTACTTGGTGCAGGAAGGTGAGCTATAAGAGATGCTCCTTGTCAAAATTCACTACAGATAGAAATTGTTGAGATTTAGAAGAAATTCTGTTTGATTTAGTACCAATATCATGAGGGCAACAGAGATCAAAGTCTAACCACTATTAGAGTCCAAATAATGCCTTTCTTCTCAGCTAAGTCTGTAGCCCCTAAACATATAGAGCTTCAGCCTAAATGAAAAAAGGAATCCCCCAATGTTCAGGTCAATGCCAAGACTGTAAGATATAAAATAACCTCATACAAGAAAATCCAAGGGTGATAACAAAAGATGAAATGATGAAAAATAGGCTATGATCTAAAATGTTTGAATAGTTCTGTTCAGAACACCAAATCTACTATGTCTATTGATCCCTCTTTCTTCGCTAAGCATAAATGATCTGCTCTTTAGAATCCTCACATAGCAATTTTGGGCCAGTTCTTAAGTATTTTTTACAGGTTGATTTATAAAATAGATACAAACCAGTATAAGTTCCTTGAAAGCGTAGACCCTGCTTTTGCATTCTGCACTTCTGCCAGGGTAACAGATTTTCAATAAATGCTTGTTCTGGGCAATGCAGAGCAGCAGTTAAGAACATAACCTTGGCAGCCTCAGAATGTTCACTTTTAAATCCTTGTTCGACCGCTAACAAACTTTGAGATTCTGGGCAAGTTTCTAATGTTTGTGTCTACATTTTGTCATCTGTAAAACTGGCATAACAATAAGTGGTAGAATTACTGTAAGGATTAAATGAGATGATTTGTGTAATGATTTTAGGACAGTACTAGACATCTAGGCAAATGCTTAATAAATGTTAGGAATCATAGTCACATTAGTGTATTAGTGGATGAATGACTTAATAAATGACTGATACAAAAACTTAAAAAAATCAGAGGGCTCCTCAGACAAGCTTTCCCTTGATTCAATGACAGTGTTTCTCCCAAATTTAAGTCTTTGTCAATTAGGTAAACAAATTTCAGAAAACAAGTTAAATTATGTCCCAGATATTGTATGGTAGGAGATATTGCATGCTGTAGAAGCAGCATCTGGTAGAATAAATATGAATGCTGGTTTGTTGTTGGAAGGAAAAGTCTCTGAATCTTAAGTCACTTCTTCCCCTCACACCCCCAACCCCTGCCCTCACCTTTAAAGACCTTTTGGCCCTCTTTATCACTTTTAGGAAGCCACACATTTCTGCTTTATAACATCAACCTTAAGTTGCGGTAAAGCTGAGAACTGCGAATAAGCTAGGAGTCCCTTTCTCTGTATTTCCACTCCAGGCCACAGTGTGCTCTGCCCATCTGCTGACAGAACCTCCATTTACAGGCAGCAGATTGGGTGCTGCCCAGATTCTGATAAATCAAACCACTTAATACTCACCTCAAAGTCTATCTATAACTCCCCTTTCTGACCAAATTGAACTAAATGGAACAAACTATTCGAAAGTATTAACTTTCAAAAATGAGCTTTGAAAACTTCCAGTGGTTCCAAACTGACAATGGCAAAATTTCCCATGTCAGAGGGGTTTATTTAGATTAAATAAGTACTGATGGTTTAAACATTCCAGGTTTCTAAGCAGGAATGTGCTGCTCCGTGAGGGCAGATTAGTGTATTTGTAAATGGGCAGTTTTCTACTGAGACCAGACAGGCATGCATCAGGTGGTAAGTAGTTATGATATTTTATGAAGCGCAACATACTATACATTCATTATAAACAGATCTTTTACAAACAGCAATCAAATTTATGTGTTCAATTCAAACAGCCAGCAATTCAAGGAAAAGCGTGCAGAATGCAATTTCTTACCCCTCAGTACTGATTTGAGGTTGAGCTTGGCTTGGCGGTGCAGGTCCTCCACGCAGGGGGGTCTGGTGGTGGGGAGGAACACATTCTCCTGCTGGTGCCATGGGGCTGTGTAGTGCACTGTCCATCTACTCTCCTCATCAAGGTTGGAAACCGCTGTAGAGAGATGGATTCAGGTGTCAAATTAAGCTCCATGGGCTCCAAAGGTGTTCCCTCCAGATGGGATTGGGATCTCGGTGCATAACATAGCCATGGGTGAAGGGCAGCAAGGGGGAATGGTGCAAATCTGAAGAGATTTAATCTTCAGCTCCTGGGGTCCTTCTCACAGGTTGCAGGAGAAGCTGAAACTGTTTATCACTGCCCCCCACCCCCCCCCACAGTGTTGGTAGGGTTACTTGCTCAGCTTCCCAGCATGTTAGGCCCTCCCTCTACTCTGATGTTAGAAAATGATTGTCAAAACGGACAGAGACCTCCCATTCCTACTCAACTCCACCACAACAAAAATCTATTATTCAACTGCACAATGTCTTTGCATCAGGAAGTGGCAGACTGTCAAGACAGAAAACAAATTTCCTACCAAGGGGTTGGAATCCAATCGTTCCCCTCTAAAGCATCATTTTAAAATGTCACTGTTATAAACTCAATTAAGTCTTTTAAAAAATTAACCATAAACATTCAATGTGATGCATTTAAATGTCATAGCTAATGGGAGTGGAAATCAATTTGTGCCACAAAATTTTTCTGCATTTCTTACTTTCATGGAATGCTTCAACATTAAAATGTTTTCTAAAAATTCAATGCACTTGACTTTCCCCAATACAACCCAACACAAAAGTCTGTAGAACATTAGAGGAGGTCATGACAGGTAATCATGAGACTAAGCTAAATCTCTGTAATAATTTTCCTCTATCCCTGTCGGGTGTGGGCCCTCTTTTTTCTTTCATATTTCCTGACAACACCAGATGGGGTCCCAGTGGGGTCCAACATGAAGTTGGCAGCACCAAACAAATTCATCAATACTTTTTTTAGTCCTTTCTATATATCTGCCAGTGTAAGCCAGGCATTTACTGGGGATGACAAGTTTCACAGCTATAAGATCAGCAAATAAATAGTAGATTGTGAGGGGGCAAGTGTTCCCTAGCACTGAACTAAGCTATAGGGTACACGCTGGCTGTATCCATTTCTAGAATCTAACATGCTGGTCGAAACCAGACCATATACAAGATTCTGAAAAGAAAGTGAACAGGTATGTATGAACTATTAAACCTGTTTATTTGAACACATATAAATCAATGGACCTATAGTGCATCTACCGGAACTAATTTAAAGATTGAATAAACTAATATATCCAAAGTCTGAACTTGTGAAAGAACTCACAAAAAGCATGACTGTAGCATGAGCAGGGATAATCACTCTAAAGCAGTCCCAGACTTGAGACCACAGTTTTCATTTCTCCCCTGGGAAGCTGTGCCATAGTTTGGCTCATATTCTTCATCCCTCACTTCAAACAATTCATTTTCTAAATGACCATAAATTGCAAAACTAGACCTCAAGTTGAAATCAGAAATGTGCTGTGTCCTTGTTATTAATGTTGACAAAGTAAGCAAGTAAATCAGACAACTAGTTACCACATGAGCTCTTGTTGCATGTGTTTGCATAGTACATGTAACTATCAACCGTAATACAAAAGAAGTCCACAAATCTGATTTTTCTCTTATTTTGGTATCTGAGAAGCTTGACCAGTGTGGAAGTCACCATGTGTCCCCCAAAGAGTGGCCACAGTTAATTATAGTGCTCTGTGGGGATGTCCATTTATTGGAAAAAATGCATCACCAGACTTCATAGTTAGAAATTACTGAAAATTGAAGCTCTTCTATTTGCCAATTACAAATCAAATCAAAATAATGGTATTCAAGAGCGTATAATCACACCCGGAGCTCCACATTACAGCTACCAACTGGCTCCTATGAAAGAACAGTTGTCTCTTCCCTGGAGTATTTCACTCATGCCAGGGCAGATTTTAATCAGGCCATCCAAAGACAGCCTTCGAGCAAGGGAGCTGCAGAAAATGAGCCCAGAAAGCTATTCTTTGTTGTTTTCTTCAAGTTTCTCTTACTAAGGCTCCTACCCAGGCACTTTTACCCAGTTTCAATCACTGACCCCAAAACTAAACTAAAATAAACAAACAATCATGTAAAAATAAAACCATATATTTGTGAAAATTATACTTTCTAGGGAAGGAGGAAACCACCTGGATTAAAGCGATTTAAAACAAATGGTAAGTACACAATGAGGCCACACCACAAAAGCTGTGTACTGTACAATAAGCACTGATCGGTCTAGACAGAGTTTGTCCTTGAGCTCTTAAATATGTAACAGAGTGCCAGGGGGCTTTAAAGGATCATCCCACCAAAAATATGTGACAGACTACACAGAGGCTCCCTGGTATTTAGCCAAGAATCAAAAAAATAACATACACTATACATCAAGGGCACATAAAAAGATTTCCCCTCTACTTCAAAGGGCTCTTTTGAGAAGTGAAAAAAGAAGTGAATACCTAAAACCCTTACCATACATAAATAAGACAAGCTAAGTTAATTCTGCCCTAAAGTTACAAAAGTCTGAGGTATTTGAATAAACTGGTATAGAATGGAGTTTAACTTTTACTAATTAGGCTGTTTCACACTCCTTTAGCATATAACACACACACACATATGGAGAAAAGAAATTACTTACTTTTCTTCTTAAAAAGTTTAAAGAAAGACTTGATCTTCACATTAAGAAAGACCACCATTTCCAAGACGCCCACATAGGGCTTAGAAGTTTAAATCACATTAAAATCTCTGGCCAGCAGGCAGGTAGCAAGCTGAATCCTTCTGCTCCGGAGTCTAACTTTCTTCCTTGAGTCTCAAAGTCTTACACATCTGCGCGGGCTGAGGTTAAGCTCATTGTCAGACAGATAGAAACCATTGGCAGCCCTTGAATCTGAAAAGCTCCCACTGAAACCTAATCTTTGAGGCTGAGAGCCCCCAGTGACAACACACACAGACTGAAAGAGCCAATCACAGTGCTGATTTGCGCGAGAGCCACCACAGTCGTCCTGTCCCGTGCTTTCTCCCTCAGTTTTCTCTCCAACAGATCAGAAGTTTCTCCTGTCTGGAGTCCAAGAAATAGTGCAGATTTTCCTCTATAGAAGTCAAGGTGAATGAAGCATGAACATCCCGATCTTTTTACTGGCGCTAACAAGTCTTAGGACAAGTCCATGTGGATTCTTTGACTCTTCAGTCAAAGCAGGCATTTGAACTGATTTAGGGGGGAAAGGGCTCAACTATTGTTTCCTTGACCACGCCCCACCCCCCACCCTCACCCGGGCGCCTCTGACACCAAAGGAACTTTAAACCCAGTAAAACTTTATAATAGAATCACCATGGAGCTGCCAGTGATGACTCAGTTGCAGATGTGTGTAAATTAGTACACCTTCTCTCTTCTCACCCAGTGGATTTTTTTTTTTTTTGGCCAGTGATTGAAAATCAGCATTGTAATCGTTGTGCAGCATGAGCTTATTTGCATCTAGCTGCCACCACTCTGGAGGAAAAAAAAAAAAAAAGCAAACTCTCCCCACACAACTTCCCCGTTCCATAGGAGAAAATGAATAAAGCACCCTAACCATTTTAAACTGTATTTTCCACTGAATTATTATCTATTTAAACACTTGGTTTAAAATGTTCTACCCCCCATAATTTCAATCATTTCAAACAAACTTTATCTGGGTTTCTCTTTAACTTGAATATCATGTACTGCATTCTCATGCTTTTTCCCATTTCCAACAAACCATAAAGAACTGAGGAAACAGAGAGAAGAATTAGAAATGGGGTATAAGCAAGCACCAGAAAAATACATTCCAGGACAGAGGGATGGGATCAGGAAATACTATAAAAAGGGACGAAGACAAGAATGCTCCTCACAGCTCTCCTGCGTTCCACTTCAAGCCAAAACAGTTTTTGAAACACATTAGACAAACCTCTTATTTCATAGCTCTGGGCCAGACTTACAACTGAATGGAAAAATGTCATAATCCACTAATTCAAAACATTTAGTTTATAACAAAAGCTCTTAGTCAAAGAAAAAAATTTATATAGGGGCTCCCTCTGGAGAAAGCGTTGGAGTGATTTCTCTTCAAACCTCCCCCACCCCATTTCTTATTTTTGAACAAAAGCAAAGCACATCAACAACACCAAAAAGTCACATACACATCATCATATGACCAGACATATTATCACAGATTTCCAATTGCGTTCTTTCATCCTATGCATCGTTTTATTTACAAGTGATTATATGACCAGATGGCAAATAAGGAGCAACTGAGACTGTAAATGAAATTATATAGCTGCCTGAAATGAGTTAGTAAAGTTCCCCTCAAGAAAACAGATTTATAAGCAAGAGTGGCCTCGCTCTAGTTCCTCTCAACCTCACAGCTTTCAACACAGGTAGCTGTGTTTTGGACACAAGCACTCATACTCAACAAACCACAGGTTTCTGAGGTGAATGTCCACCACACATTTCCTGTGAGGACAGCAGATAGCTTTTCATATAAACAACACTGCACCCCGCCACTGACTCGTTCAGAAAGGTAAACGCTGAGCAGATGACAGGAGTCACTGCTTTGAGATGCCTGCCCTCAGGGAGCTTACACTGAGGATAAACTGCAACATCTGGTATGCTAGCAGGTGGTAAATAAGTTGGACAAAAGGAAAAGTCGAGTACAATAAAGGGGTTTAGGAGTAGGGAGGTAGTGAGGTTGCAGTTTAAATAGGAGTTAAGGGGGACTCCCTGGTAGTGCAAGGGGTTGACTCAGCACTATGAAGCTATCTGCAGCCACTGCAGCACAAGTTCAATTCCCAGCCAGAGAAGTGACCCACATGGCACAGCAGACCTCTCCTGCCTCGCCTGCTGCTCCCCTCAGCAGTGTATTTTAGTAGATCCGCCTGTTCTGTTCCCCACTCTGTGTCTGGTGAATCCTCTCGCCTCCCACAACTCTGGCATGTGCCCCAGTTCCTGTATGAATAAATAAATCTTAAAAAAAAGTTTTTAAATAGGAGTTAGGGTAGACTGCATGGTAAAGGTAAGATATGAGTAAAAACTTGGAGACAATCACC